GATGTTCTAGGGTTTCAGGATTGTTGATTCTCTGTTTGGCTTAGTTTTTCGGATCTTTGTTGTGGAGGGACGGCGTGGTGCTTCTGCCTAGAGCGCCATCTTGCTGGAGTCTCGACACCAACTTATTTGAGGAAAAATCAGATAAAAGAATTTTAAAAAATGAAGAAATGCTAAGAATTATGTGGGACTCTATCAAGAGAAATAACCTACAAGTGATTGGGGTACTAGAACAGGGGGCGTATAACAGAAAATACACAGAGAATTGTTGAAGATTTGTTGGCAGAAAACTTGCCTGATATCGTGAAAGATGAGAAGATATCTATCCAGGAGGCTCATCGAACACCACACAAGTTATATCCCAAAAGGAAGTCACCAAGACATATTATAACCAAACTTGCCAAAACCAAAGATAAAAAGAGAATTTTAAGAAGGATAAACTAAAAGTCACCTACAAAGGAGAGTCAGTAAGACTAAGCTCGGACTACTCAGCAGAAACCAGGCAGGCAAGAAGGCAATACGATGACATATATAAAGCCTTGAAGGAAAAAAATTGCCAGCCAAGAATTATATATCCAGCAAAACTGTCCCTCAAATATGATGGTGAAATTAAGGTACTTCCAGATAAACAGAAGTTTAGGGAATTTGCAAAAACCAAACCAAAATTACAAGAAATGCTAAGGGGAGTCCTCCAGTTAGAAAATCAATAACATCAAATAACAACCCAAGACTAGAACATGGGACAGAGCAACCAGATAAAAACCTAGATAGGGAAGTCACAAAAATAAATCAAAGCTAAAACAGTGTAAATAAGGAAACAGAGATGTCAGTATGTAAAAGATGACAACATTAAAACAAAAAAGAGGGACTAAAAAAATGTAGTCATACATCTCTTTTATGGAGAGGAAGTCAATATAAAGAAATAAAAGATTGGATTAGACTTAGAAAAATAGGGTTAAATATTAAGGTAACCACAAAGGAAACTAACAATCCTACACATCAAAATAAAAAACAAGAAAAATATAAAGACTCAGAAAATACAAAATCAACAACGATGAAAAAGAACAGAAAATATGTAAAGAAAAATGACTCAGCACATAAAATTAAGTGGAACAAAGAAACTGTCAACAACACACACAAAAAAGACATCAACATGACAGCACTAAACTCATACCTATCAATAATTGTGCGGAATGTAAATGGACTAAATGCACCAATAAAGAGAGAGTGGCAGAATGGATAAAAAAAACACTATCTGTCTATATGCTGCCTACAAGAGACACGCCTTAGACTTAAATACACAAACTAAAATTCAGAGGATGGGAAAAATATATCAAGCAAACAATAATCAAAAAAGAGGAAGAGTGGCAATATTAATCTCTGACAAAATAGACTTTAAAGTAAAATCCACCAGAAAGAATAAGGAAAGACACTATATAATGACTAAAGGGTCAATACACCAGGAGGATATAACTATAGTAAGTATTTACACACCTAATGACAGTGCTCCAAAATACATAAACTCTTAACAGTATTGAAAAGAGAGACAGCTCCACAATAATAGTAGGAGACTTCAACACACCACTTTTGGTGAAGGACAGAACATCCAGAAAGCAGCTCAATAAAGACACAGAAGATCTAAATGCCACAATAAGCCAACCTGATCTCATAGACATATACAGAACACTCCACCCAACAGCAGCCAAGTATACTTTCTTTTCCAACGCACATGGAACATTCTCCAGAATAGACCACATATTAGGCCATAAAGTAAGCCTTAACAGAATCCAAAGCATCAGAATATTACAAAGCATCTTTTCTGACCATAAAACCATAAAAGTAGAAATCAGTAACAGAAAAAGCAAGGAAAACAAATCAAAATCATGGGGTGGAAAGGAGGAGTGTGCTGTTATAGGTAGAGCAACTTGGGTCATATAACAATGTGTGTATAAATTTTTGTATGAAAAACTAACTTGAACTGTAAACTTTCAGTTAAAGCGTAATAATAAAAAAAAAAAGTCATTAATGGTGTCACTGTTTTTCCCACCTGCTGAAAACAAGCATCCTCTTATTCGTAGAAAAACGAGTTTAAGCAGTGCATTTTTAAATCACCTTTCCAATTTGTTTCTGGCATACTAAATAGGGACTGAAATGAGGAATCAAGGCTTTCCTTTTATGGAAATAAAATTTAAATTATACACATTTTGCTTTGATTCATGTACTTTCATTAAATTAAAAAGCCATATAACAATATAGACATTGTAGCAAAGTTTTTATTTACTGAACATTTATAAATGATAGGTGACCATTAGAAGATAGACTATGAAGCAACTTTTTTCCCATACTGAGATATTTCTGCATCAAAACCCTTGATACTCTTGTCCTACTCAAAGATTAAACGTCTCAAAAGACAAGACAGACAGCATGTTAATAAAATAAAAAGCAGTCACCATTTTGTAGATTTTAAGTTTCTTGAGGCAACAGAGTTTTTTTTTTTAATTTTCTCATAGCACCTACTGTAATTTGTTGCCCACAATAAGCACTAAAAATGAAAACATTTAATTTTGGTCCTTTTAACTTAATCCTTAATTCAGTGTCTTGCTTCAAAATTACTATAACACCTATGAATTTATTACTTTTTTTTTTTTTAGCTATAACATATGAACTAAAGGTTAGTTTTAGATTCTTAGAGTACTTCTCAGTCAGGCTTTCTCATCTCTCCATTATTCTTTTTATGTCTAACAGATGGAAGTACTCTACTTCTAATTCCAACTCCCCTTGGCACTGGGGATTCGTTGGCATGTATGGAAATGGGGGATATATTTTTACGTTATCAAAATCAAAATATAAAACCAAAGACAAGTTCATTGACCTTCGACTGAACAGCTGGATCACAAGAGGGACCAGAGTTATTTTTATTGATTTTTCATTATACAATGCTAATGTAAATCTGTTTTGTATCATCAGGTGAGTGACTCAAAACCTCTTCATAAGTATAACCCGTTGCTGTCAAGTCAATTGCAACTCATGGCGACCCCATGTATGTCAGAGTAGACCTGTGCTCCACAGGGTTTTCAATGGATGATTTTTCAGAAGTAGATCAGCTGGCTTTTCTTCCCAAGCACCTCTGGGTGGACTCAAACCTCCAGCTTTTCAGTTAGCAGCTGAGCAAGTTAACCATTTGTACCATGCAAGGACTCCGTTTATCAATATATTGAATTTAAAAAACATCCAGAGCCCTCATTAGGGTTTTCGGTTTGTGCATACTTGTCCTGAGATTAAAATCATAAGCTTTAAAATAAATGTAGTTCTACTGCCAATAATGAAAAAGGTGAAGCAACATTCTGTTCATTGTTTTATTATTATTTCAGAATATATTCGGGAACATGAATTACATACAATATGTTAATTTTGTATTACTTAAGGATTTGTAGTCTTTTATTGTCATTTGGGAAATCCTGGTGGGGTAGTGGTTAAGAGATATGGCTGCTAACCAAAAGGTTGGCAGTTCAAATCTACCAGGCACTCCTTGAAAACTCTATGGGGCAGTTCTGCTCTGTACTATAGGGTCGCTATAAGTTGGAATTGACTCAACAGCAACAGGTTTTATTGTCATTCTGGAGTTGCAGAGATCTAACATCTAGTCTTGATGATTTCTTCCTCTAAATTAGATCATTCAAAAGTGTTGGTCTCCTTTCAGAATGGGCTTCATAAGTTATTCATTATGTTGCAAGAATGAACAATTTAAATTTCAAATAATATATAACTGTAGCCAGCATCCCAGAAATGGTTATAGCCTGTGCCTGTGGTATATTGCAAAAATGGCCTCAATTCATAACATTTTTGCCATGTAACTTTATAGTGTTCTGCTACCAAGGGCAGGGTGCACTGCCCCAACCCTTGATGCTAGGCTCAACCATGTGACTTGCTTTGGCCAGTGGGGTGTGTTATGGATTGAATTGTGTCCCCCAAAAATGTGTGTCAATGTGGCTAAGTCATGATTCCCAGTATTGTGTGATTGTCTATTTTGTTATCTGATGTGATTTTCCTATGTGTTGTAAATCCTACTTCTATAATGTTAATGAGGCAGGATTAGAGGCAGTTATATTAATGTGGCAGGACTCAAACTACGAGATTAGGTTGTATCTTGAGTCAATTTCGTTTGAGATATAAAAGAGAAAAGTGAGCAGAGAGACAAGAGGACCTCATACCATCAAGACAGAATCGCCTGGACCGGAGCGTGTCCTCTGGACTCAGGTCCCTGCACTGAGAAGCTCCTAGACTATGGGAAGATTGATTACAAGGACCTTCCTCCAGAACCAACGTAGAAAGCCTTCCCCTAGAGCTGGCACCCTGAATTTGGACTTACAGCCACCTAAACTATGAGAGAATAAATTTCTGTTTGTTAAAGCCATCCACTTGTGGTATTTCTGTTATAGCAGCACTAGATAACTAAGTCAGGATGTTAGCAATATGATGCAAGCAGAAGCTTGAAATGAGTTTGCACATTAGAACTTGCTTTCTTGCCCCTCTGCCATTGCCATGAGAAAGACATGCCTGGGCTACCTTGTTGGATGCAGGAGGAGGATGAGAGACAGGTACCAACTCAAAGACACATAAGTGGGTCCAGCCAAATGACAGATACATTAGCAAGCCTAGCTGAGATAAGTCAAGCCCAAATGGGTCAGCTGAACTGTGCGAAGCATAAGAAATATCTATTATAAGCCACTGCATTTGGAGGAGGTTTGTTATCTAACAAAGCTAATTGACACAAGGCCTAACTTGGACCTCAGCTCTTTATTTTTGAATTAGTTAGGAGGCTTTTGTTGAAGCAGAAAACCCGAAATCAAGTGGTTTAAACAAAAAAAAATTATTATTGTCATATAGCTGCAATTCCAGAGACAGCAGTTCCTTTTGCAATAAGTACAGGGCTCTAGCTCCATTTCTTTGAAATGGCTTCATCTTCTGCCCTCCTTTGTCTCAATCATGTCTTAAGCTTCCTCAGAATGGTTGCATGTCTTTGATATCTGTAAGGAAAGCATGCCAACCAAAGACAGAGTTCTTTTCCCTTAGTCTAATTGGGTTACTTTACATCACATGCCTACCCTGGACCATGCTAATTGGCTTAGGCCTAGGTTCTTGAACCAAACAGGGCAAAGAAAATAGGATTACCGTGACTGAATCTACCTGAGGATTGAATCATCTTCCTCTAAGTGATATGGGGATGGATGGATACCTAAATAAGGGTTCTGTTAGAAAGAAGGAATGGGATAATGGCTGCTAGAAAGGCAAACAATAGTTTCTACTAAATTCTCAGTGAGCCACTTTTCTCGCACAAGTCTTACTCTGAATGGAATGTGGAATTGGGGTTTACTGTAACTAGGGGTTTATGCCAGCAATGACAACTGGAAGAGGAATGGCATTGCACTCATTGTCAAAAAGAACATTTCAAGATCTATCCTGAAGTACGACGCTGTCAGTGATAGGATAATATCCATACGCCTACAAGGAAGACAAGTTAATACGACTATTATTCAAATTTATGCACCAACCATTAAGGCCAAAGATGAAGAAATTGAAGATTGTTACCAACTTCTGCAATCTGAAGTTGGTCAAACATGCAATTAGGATGCATTGATAATTACTGGTGATTGGAATGCAAAAGTTGGAAACAAAGAAGAATTGGTAGTTGGAAAATACGGCCTTGGTGATAGAAATGATGCCGGAGATCGCATGATAGAATTTTGCAAGACCAAAAACTTCTTCATTGCAAATGCCTTTTTCACCAACATAAATGGTGACTGTACACGTGGACCTCACCAGACAGAATACACAGGAGTCAAATTGGCTACACCTGTGAAAAGAGACCATGGGAAAGCTCAGTATCATTAGTCAGAACAAGGCCAGGGGCCGACTA